TTAATATAGTTTTATTCAACTCCTCACAAAAATTACATAATGTATTAATAAAAAAAAGAATATTTTTTTAACGGGAACTAATTTCTAAATTTTTGAAATTGTTATAAAATTATTTTATATACCACCTAAGAAGTACTCGTATAACGTAACATTTTCATTAAATAATATTATATAATTACATATATTTGCACAAATCATTAGCAAAACGCGCATTTTCGCTCATTTTACTTCACTTATTCAGCAAATGTGAGCACAGCTCACAATCACCCAACTGATTAACTAACTGACTCATCACACTCACTTAGCAATGTATGTATGTATATCTGTATGTCTGTATTGCACGCAATCAACCAATAATATAGGCAGCTTATTTCCATTTCTAACTCGTATAAGCCTCACACTATCTCCCCTCGTGCACTGCGCCGTCCTGCCCTTCAAACTGCCAAAGCGGCCTATTGATTGCACCGCTCGTGTAGCTAAATGTGCCATGAACAAACTCGTGTTGGCATAAATTAATCGTACAAAAGCTTTATGGCTAGATATTTATAAGTTGCTCTTATTTGCTAACAGGTGAGCAATGTTTGCGAAACAAACACACACATAACGACTATGTGGTTTTGAAAAAGAGAAAAGCAGACTTGAGGCAAAACGCGTTAATTATGCTCGCTGCGGCTTAGAATAATTAATGGAACATGTGAATATATAAATGGTTCATTAATGTAGCTAATATTTTGGCTGTGTGACGTTTAAATAGTGAGTAACTTGGAATTATGCATATATGTAGGTACCATATATGATAGAGTTGCCATACTACAGCTGGTGGATGAGGCATATTTAAATACAAATTATTAAAATAAATTTGTCTGAAATGTATTTTGAAAAATTTTGAATCTTGAAGAATTTTGATCTTTAAAAAAACTAAAGATTTTAGAAAAAGTCCAGTTATTATTGTAAATAGCTCTTTCTTAAAAAATTATAATATTCAAGTGGAAGTTCAAAAAATATATGAAAAAAAGCAAATTCTAGTGGTCATATTTTGATTAATAACTCTTTCTTATTATAAAATTTAAATGGTGTTGCCATATCGTAACAAATACACAATGTATTTTGAGTAAGTAGCACAAGGTGTTATGGAAATCAGTATTTTGAAAATATT